CCATTCCGAGCATTGCTATTGGACAGTACCTTTCTCCGAGTAGACCTTCCCATGGACGCTATCTTCTTCTCACACGTTATCTTCCTTGACTCACCTTCTACCAATGGGCGCCCTTGTATTTCTCATTTCTCTGAGTTACGTTCTCACAGGATGGCTTACGCGTCCTTTCTTATTGTTCTCTTCTTTGGGTATTAACCCCTATACCAGTTACTATATATACTGTAGGAAAACCCATGTATTCCTTAGTTCAACCTCCTGTTGAATACAGCGATTACCTGGACTCTTGACTTGACCGTTGGCATTGGCCCGGCCAGACCTACCTTTCAGTACGCTTACTGAGGTAGTGACGACATAACTGTTGGCACGTGGCCCAGTTATCTCAAGACAACTAGTTAGGACATCGCTTCCTAACACGCTGTCGCTGTCCCCGTCCGGAGGCCCAGCCGATGTGGCATCTCTGACAACGCGCCTCTCTCCAAGTGTCAGCTCCTCGTCATCGGTTTCATCCGACGGTCCGCCCTCCGTCCGGATATGGACTGGGGCCGGCGGACGTATTGTGAGGCAGGGGGCCGCTTCCATCAGCAGTGTCTGGTGCACTCCCGCGTGCTCTTCGACGCCGCGAAGAGTGAGCCTTTCTAAACCATGGCCATGTGCCCTTCTCTCGTGCAGGACAGATGCCAGCCTGCCAACAAAGTCGCTCGTGTAAAGCGCGTCGGAGTGCTCTTCAATGGTCAGGGCGCGTAAAGCCGGAAACAGGACGCCGGCATTGACATTCCCGGTGCTCTCATGACCGGAGCTGAATTCCGCGCTTTGCTTGGTCGAAATGGCGTCGAGGAGCCCATCGTCGGCGCCAGCTACGTAGAGTCGCGTCACGCTGGCCAGATGACCGAACCGCGCCCGCCATTCACCTGCCGCCATGGCCGTCTCGACTTGCAGCTCTTGCAAGTCACCTGGGGTCATACTGCGAGAAACTACTTGGAGCAATTCCTCCAGTTGATCGTTGCGCTCCCCATCATCCTCCGGGAATCCTTCTATTGTTATTGAGAACTCCAGTAGTTGCTTCCTGGCGGACAACGTGACCTGGCGGCTCCATGCAGTAATCCTTTGGGAACGCGTCCACAGCCGGACCCCAGCAACATTGGTCAAGGCAGCCTTTTGCATTTGGTTCGTGGTCACGATGTCTTGAGTGAGGGACGCACACGGCTCAAGATCCTGCCAAATCTGGTCAGGCGCTGGACGTGCGTCTGTCGCGACGTGAGAGGAGCGATCCTTACCCGACAATCGGTGTCACTCAAAACAACCTCCATCTCCAACAAAACGGGAAGAGATAGGTGCATCAAGAGTGTGTGATATGCACTGAGGCGTACATCCAAGTATAGATGTTGTAGATGCAACATCTCTAGAATGGGTTCCTCTACTCGTAATTGCGGCCGCCAGAGTGTGTTCTGGCACCCATATGCCCAAGTGCTGAGCGGTAGGTTCTCCAGGAGGGGTAGGCCACGGAGAACGGCGAGCCATTCCGTGAGTGAGGGATCTACTTCAGCAGACCGTATCGATAGGGAAACCAGTGAAGGCAAAAGAAATTTCTTGTATTCTCCGAGTTTCACATACCACACGTCCAAAAACCGAAGCTGAGGGTACGTAAGCTGCAACAACACACGCAAAGGTGGCCCGTCGTAGGAATTACTGATCCCTGAACCTGAACCTGTCAGAGTCAGCGATTTCAGACGGGGGACCTGTTGCCCTTGCAGCGTCCTGAACCACTTGTGTTTGACGTCCCAAAATGACAGATCCAGCAAGCCAATTTGATGAAGATGTCCAAGTGCCGCCCTACAAGCTTCCACGGCTCGCCAGAACCTTGAACCGAGGATTCCGGTCAAAGCGAGGGGCAACCCGCGGCTCCTCTCAATCGCCATTGCAAAGTACCGCGGATTCTTCAGGCAGATGCGGGACCAGAGTTGTGAAGCAGTCAATGAAATCTCTCGCCAATAACTACAGACATGGGTAACCCCCACAAGGAACACGGGCTCCCAGTGGCGGGGCGCGCAGTCTGTCCAAGCCAGGTTGATTATCTGGAGTAGCAGTTCCGCGGGGAGTCGTTGGACAGGGAGAAGCTGGTTTCTCTCTCTCTTGAGCCGGATACACTCGATCTCCAGCTGCATAATCTGGTGCTCAATCTCTCGCAGCCTTTTGCTCGCAAGGGGCTTGAGCGGGATTTGGCTGAACAGCTTCTCGACTCTGGTTGGGATATAAGTAGACCGGTTGCGGGATTTGGCTGAACAGCTTCTCGACTCTGGTTGGGATATAAGTAGACCGGTTTAATTGGCGTTTAAGGACTCGTACCGTGCATTGTAAACATGTTCCATCATGTTGTGCTGGGTGCAGTTGTCGATGTTTTGTCGATGCTAAGTATTGTGCTTCATGATCAGCCGGCCGCCGATTCAGCCACAGTTTGAACACGTGTCTTGCCATCGCCTCGTTGTGGCTATCGTCCGGCAGTAGGTGACGTACTCCGGACTAAAGTTGCCGTTGTCTGGTTCTGAACCATATCGGACCAGTACGAACTGCAACCGGACCGCTGGTGGACCTAACCACTGGGTCCAGTCCGCCGTGGAAGGAATCGGTTAGGTCCACGGTCCGCACGGATGCTGGGTGCGGTGGACATGTTCTGCACTCGGGAAGCTCCGTCTGGTGCCGGCATCTTACCCCTCCTTTGTGGGATGGGGTGAATTATTGCATAGGTGCTTGCTGTTGATTGTATTGAGTGCAAGACTATAACAGTTGGGTGCCAGGCATAATAACAATGCCTTGGATGTAAGCGCTAATGCAGCCAAACAAGGTGGTTCGGCAGGCCGGCTGAACACTTATTGCTATCCTGCGCAATGCACAGGATGCATGTCCATGAGTCAATACAATTCAGAGTAATCCTTTTGAGTCTTTGATGTACTGATGTCTAGCAACAGGCTAAACTCCCAAGAGATATTCAGCTGCTTCTTGATTCTGAGTGCAGAATTCACAGCATGTAGCTGCTGTGGCAGATGGAGATGGAATCTAGTACTGATTGTTTACTTCAATATGTAAGACACAAAGTATAATCTATGCAGGATGAATGATGACTTCTCCGGGCTGCAAGGGATGCAAGATAATTCTAAGTCCACCAGGACCCATGTGCCACTGGAGGCAAGCATGGCACGCCGGTATTTGCCGGTTGGTCAAAAAGTGCGACGTATTGCAGGCTTGGCATAACCCCTCTCAAAGGAAGGGCACAGGTTCGAACCTGAACCACATCCATTCTTGTCATGTAGTGAAATAGAAAAATGTGAGGGGTGGGAGCTTGTTTATAAGTCCTGCATAGTTTCTATGGCACATCCAAGGTACTTCTGTAAGGTGGGCGCCACCGAGTGGCGCCGAGTTTGGACGTGTTTGGTTACTGAGTGATAGATGGACGGATTGGGCAGGCGGATCGTTAGACAACTACTACCTCTGAATCTGCTTAGCTCAATTACCTATCTTGTATCTCTCGCAATAAGACGAGGGTCTGTTTATTGGTGTGTGTGTGATAGAAGCTAACTGTACTGACTACGGAGATTCTACAACTTCAGGTGCTCCATTAGTTCAATACTGCTCTACCCATCATTCCATATGGACTCTGGGACCACTACGAACTGTGTCATGCCAGTGACCACTGGACCTGCCACCCATGATGGGCCCACTGATGAGAAGTCAGATGGATTCAACCCAGCGAAGCCAGACGGTGATCTCTGCCACAAACTGGGGAGGAAATATGTGCATCTATATTCACTGCTGCTGGCCCAGTCATCATTGACCTTATGGAACACTAAGTGCCAACACGTTGGGTCAACTCTGAATTACCTCCATTTGTCTATGATCATCTCAAGCAATGGGCCGAAGTTACCAATGCAACGGGCATGGATGAAGATTCACGCCGCATTGCAGCCTTCATGCTTACAACTGGAGCAGTCGGTTATCCTGATTTCTCCTTTTATCTGGGGCTCATCTGCTACCTGGAAGTGACTTGCGTGCATATTTCCCTATGCCGTCAACCGCAGTACTCACCGTGCGACATCAGCTACTCGCACCCGGTATACTCGGTTCCCTCTATTGCAAGTACAGTTGGAGCGGAGCGTGGCCGTTTCTCGACGAGCGGCGGCCTTATGACAATTATATACCCCTCCCGATGCCGCGCGCGATGTATATTGCACGCAGGAATCCATAGAGTGATACTGACCGGATGGTCAAGCCACCTGTACTGCGCTGGAACCAAGTAGCCTCTGCCTTATAGATATTCGAAGTCGAGAGATAGTTGAATTCAAGTTACTGCTCGCTTCTTTTTCCAGAGATACCATCGCATTCCCGCATTGCACGACTTGTTACATGTCAGAATGCTCACGAGGACGCTTCAGAGGGTGCCCTTATCAACAGCTAGAAAGTACATTTCTACTGAACGCTGTGTTTTTTATTAGCACTAGTGCGCTGGTGGATCACTCAGACTGGTTATGTTGCGCCTCAAACCACGGGTCCTCTTCCCACACGTCATCCTCGCCACTATCAGCCTCCTCGTCCTCCCTCCGCTCTGCAACTCCGGCAGTTGAGCCTTCCTCAGTCTGCTGCTCTCGGTGAATCTCAGCGGGGGGGCGTAAAGTAAGCTTCTCTACCATCTCCTGCAAGCGCGGGACATGCTGACTCGGCCAGCCTTCGACGCCGCGGATGTCAAGATGCGACAGGCGCGGAATGCCCGCACGCTCCCTCGATTTCAGTGAGCGCGACAGCTCCTCGACAAGATCTTCGTGGTAGTACTCATCGGTTTTCTCCTCAAGTACTAGGTACTGTAGCGAGGGAAACAGTACACGGTGGGTGATATCTTGGGTGCTCGTCTCCTCCATGCATGTCTCTGGCTCATTGGTCCCTACGGACAGAGCGTCTGTGAATTCTTCATGGGCGCGGGTCACCCAAAGCCGGGTTATGTGCTTCAAATGCCCGAAATATTCCCGCAAGTCACCGGCCGTAATGCAGTCTCGAGTTGGAGATATTCGAGGTCGTCCGTGACCAGCGACTGGAGCAAAAGCTGTTCGGCCTCTTTGAAGTTCTTGACAACATCGTCGCAGGGATGTTCTGTTGCAATCGCCATCGAGACCCACATCCTGGCGTTTTCCGAAGGAGACGTAGTGGGCTTCGCGCCCATCTACACAATAAACTTGCGATGCCTATATAGCATAATGGACGCCCCGGATCGACGTACTCCCATCCTCCATGAGTTAGCCAAGGTGAACTTCGTGCAGCCACGGGAGATTGATGCACTGTGAAATAGCGCAATGATGGGTCCAAGGAGCTCTAACACGGGGAATACTTTGTGTTCTATGTGATCTTGTATGCTGTACCAATCGCACGTGAAGCTATGCAGTAGAATATGGATATTGCTTATCATTGGCAGTTCCAGATATGCCAGTAAAGCGGAACACTGTATGAGATTATCTTCAAGAGTAAGGGATCGCAAGCAAGGCAGCCTTGTTTTCTTGTGATCGCAATTGGGTACCAATGCAAAATGTAAAAGGGAGGATGAGAGAATGCACTAGCTTCAATGAATGCAGATGCGGCAGGTCTGCGAGGATCGAGAGCATGTTTTGGCCGTTGATCGGAGTCAAATCTTGTTCTATTGACAGGGATGTCAGTGAAGGCACAAGGAGGTGTCTGCACGTGCCGGCCGCGAACCGGCGTAAATCCAGTTGTCGCAGGTTCAGCGGCCTGATACAGGATATCCCTCACATACATCACTTGACAAGACGAGGGACCGTAGATCGTGGAGCTCTCGTTCTTTAAGCCGTTGGTCCAATGGCTTTGGATTCCACGTATTTCCGCGCACATGCATGTGAATGTCAAGCTCGCGAATGCGATGTAGCTTCGTCAAAGCAATATAAAAAGCATCAGTGGCTTCGGGTCAACGCTGTGAGTTGATGCAGCCGGTGATGGTCAGCGGCGCTCCTCGGGATCGATCCAACATGGCGCGAACATGTTGAGGATTCTTGAGCCCTACCCGCGACCACAGAAGATGTGTCTCCAGAATATTCTGTCTCCAATGACTCCAGACATGCGTCACGTCGACCAAGAACGTCGGCCTATACGAGGCACAGCCCTGCCAGGCCAACAAGACAACTTTTGTGACCAGCTCCGCCGGGAGTCGAGCGACAGGCATGAGACTGTTGCGACAACGCCTAATTTGGCACAGTTCCTGCTCGAGCTCTGATATGCGAATATCTATAGAATGTATGGTTTTCGTCGTTGTATCATCTAGCTCGATCCGACTGAACTGCTGCTCGGACCTGAGGGGGCACAACGCATGGAGAATGATATCACTGGCGGATGCTGGGACCCTTACCTGCTCTGTACCTCCTGCGGTACTAGGGAATGGTACAACTCCATGACCGCTCTGATTGAAAACACTGTGACTTTGTCGACAGACGGGAAGGTTCGCGACCAATGTTCAAGTGAGAAATTCTGGTGGGACCATGTTTGGCCTCGCTTGACAGGGCACAGTCACCGACACTTGCTCCGAGAATTACCCACACTTCTATGACTTCGGAGACGCACCAGGAGGATGGACTCGCTCAGCGCGCATGTTCGATTCAAAGTAGTAACCCCAATTGCAAGGACCGTACAAGCCGACTCGGACGATGAGAACGAAGGACGGGTCCGGTTTCTTCCGACTGGTTGACCAAGGCCTTCAAGTTCCACCGACGCCAACGGCTGCGCTCTCCTGCCTCGATTCGCGCTTCCACTGCAAGCCCTCCGGTGTCCCCTGCAACCGCGCTTTTGCACCCAATCTTCCGACAAGACCTGAATGATCAACGACAGGCAAAGCCGGTTGTGTACGCCGGAGTCAGTGATGAGAGGCGCTGATCCTTTGAGGAGGTGAAGAAGGAATTGAAGAATGTGTGAGTCCCCCTGGCTCAGTGGCTGGCACCTCGTCTCCTTCCTACAAGTTCCCTCGCCCCATCCATCGACGTCCCCCTTCCGTTGTCTCGCCTGCCCCGCGCCCGGGGAGAAACCAGCGGCAGCTTCTCGCTCTGCACAACCAAATATCACCTTGTGCGGGTTGTATCGGTTGTGCGGTGCGTGCGTCTCCTCGCTGGTGGTGACCGTGGGGCGGGAGGGCGTGGCGCTCTGTCCCATCCCCCACCTGTACGTCCGTCCCTCGCTCGCATCACCTCCTAAGTATGCCTCGTCAAGCGTCGCCTGAATTTCTGATTCCAAGTCGTCACATCCCCTCTCGACGTCACGCTCATCCATGTTATGTAAACTGTTTTAGTCGCTCGGTCTTCTTGTTCTCCGGGATACGGAAGCTTCGTAACGCTGGCGTCCGTACCACATCCCCGAGCCTAGAGCCCCGCCCGCCTCATCGCGTGGAGCATCGCCGCCGTCTCTAGCGCCCTTGCTTCTTGGCATCCCAGTTGCTCGCATGCATATTCGCGCCTGTAAGGGGAAGCGCCCATGTGGCGCGTGTTTGAGTATGTTTGGTCGCGACGCGACTTAGAAGGAAGTTTGGATATACGTAGCTTGGCAGACAACTACTACCTTCTACTCTAAGGAATACTCCTGTACTCGTGTATCTGTTCGCAATACGACGAGGGTTCACTTAGCCCCGGTGTGTGATAGCTACATACTGTACTGACGTTTTCCTACACTTTTTTAAGTGCTCACCGCGTTCAACTCCGTGTTCGACCGCAACG